AGTGAGCAGCTTTCAAGTAGTGCAAATAATGGGCTGTGTTTCGAACAAACATATGCCGCACAGACAAATGATCCGCAAAGTAAAAGGTAGAACATTTCATTTGCCTCTGCCTTTACAAGAAACATTGGATAAGGTATGTCCTCCGGAAGATCCTATAAATTTGAATCACGAGTTGCACATTCTCGTTTGAGGTATACCCAAGAAATCTAAAGTCGTTTGAGAAAATTTGGTAGATATTAATAAAGTGTATAAGGCTTTACAATGGTTAAAAGAAAATAATCCTCATTACTCGAAAATTCGTCTTCCGGCGTCATCTGATGATCTATTAAAGAATAAGTTACAGGAAACAGAAATAGGATTGTCGATGAGGAAAGCGACAATGTCGAAATAAATGAGGTGATTGAGGAATTACCAGCATTGAATTTGTACAATGTACAGCAAAACAAAAATAATAATGATCAAACCGTTTTAAAACGTATGGCTTTTCTTACACAAATCACTGAACATTCGGATGTTAAGGGGATGCCGGAGGTCTACTTTTACCGGCCAAACGATTATATTTTTCCAACACCAAGAAGTTTTTATTGCGTTAATAGAATAACAAATGCTTTTCCACGATTAAAGTTAATACAATAATAAAGTACGCAGCTGTCTCAATTTGTAATAAAAAGACAAAAAATTTTTAAATACGAGTTTTTTCTGGCTTCTCGCGTCACGTCATAACAATATTTGCTTGTATAAAAGTTTCACAATTTATACGTACAAAATAAGACCGCTTCGTCCAAAAGATTGCATAAAGGAATATTAGTAAGCTTGCAGAAATAAGTTTAGAAGTCTAATAAAAAAGATCTTGGTGTTGGAATATTTCATTCACATGTGTATGTGCAAAATGACATTTGGGAATAATACAGAGCAGAAAATTAGTTGCGCGATGTCGCGATAGATGGAGTTGCAATCGTGCAGTTGTAGCATTCATCATCCACACCTTTCATTTACACTCTACACTTTTATTACACCTTACACTTTTCACTGCACTTTTACACTTTTTACATTTTTATACATTTGTAATAACTTCAATTCATTAATATACATAATGTTTTTAAGAAAAATCAATATTTCCATAACAACACATTCATTCATTTATTTGTTACATATTAATTCTTTTAGTTCTTTCGCTTTATACTTTCAATGAATAAACATTACTTTTTCAAAGATCTGGTGAATTTATTTATAAGTCGCTACATTTTTGGTGACCCCGACGTGATATTAAAGCCGACGTGATATTAAAGCCGACGTGATATTAAAGCCGACGTGATATTAAAGCCGACGCATTTTAAAGGCTGATGCGGAATAAGTGCCAAGTGATCGTCGTATTTGAAGTCTGCGAAATATTATCATCGCTTGGAAGAATTGCTGGATATTCTGATTTTAAGAGATTCATTCTTCGGATCTTTGAAACATCAGAGGCGGATTAGTCCTTCACGGAAATTCTCAAATCATTTTATCGGATTCCTGGAACAAGAGGAAAATGCCAATCGATAGATCACCAGTTAGACCCTGTTCGGATACACAGATTGATATGGATTTGGCGAGCGGATCAAATCAGGTTGGATCAGAAAATATTAATATTTTACCTTCTCAAACTGGACATCAGGTGAGTGATCCTATGTTACAAATTCACTCAAATGAGTTTCGTTTATTAAAACTACCGACTTTCTGGCATAAACAACCTAAACTCTGGTTTGCTTCTATTGAAAGTGAGTTTACGGTTTATCGAATTCGATCAGATGATATTAAATATAGTTCTGTCATTCGTCATCTTGATGAACAAGCCTTAGTAAACATATCTGAAGTCATTGAAAATCCACCTAAAACAGATAAATATAATTATTTAAAGAAAATATTAATAAATCGCTTTACGGATTCAGAGGAAAAACGTTTGAGACAAATATTAGCTGGAATTGAACTTAATGATAAAAAGCCTTCGGAATTACTTCGAGAAATTCGTCATTTATCTGGAGGATCTTTAGCAGATAGTGTTTTGCAAATGATTTGGCTTCAACGCTTACCACATAGAATTCAAACGACTTTAGCCGTAGTAGAGGATGTTCCTCTTGTTAAACTTGCGGAATTAGCCGATAAAATTGCTGATCGGGACGGCGGTTTGCAAGTCGCGGAAGTTTCCAATAATACAAGTAATAAATCTTCGGATTTCGCGGATTTGCTACGAAGAATCGAAGCTCTTGAAGTTTCTCGTCGTCGAGATCGTTCCAAAAGCCGGTCTAGAGAGAATAGAAGATTTAGATCGTTATCGCGTAAGAAAGACAAATCAAATAAAGATATTAAAGATACATCAATTTGTTTTTACCATAAGAAGTTTGGTGATAAGGCTAAACGATGTACTTTACCTTGTTCTATGTCCAAAACATTCTTGGCTTCACAGGAAAACTAAAAACGCCGCTTAAGACTGAGGCTGCTTACGACGGTGTTTCTAACAATCGCCTCATTATTTTCGACAGACATTCAAATTTGAATTTTCTTGTCGATACGGGCGCTGATATATCGTTGTTACCTAAAAAGGTTTTATTGAAGCCGTGGCATACTAATTTAAAACTTTTTGCCGCAAATGGTACTCAAATTAATACTTACGGTTCTAAAACTTTAATTTTGAACCTCGGTTTAAGGAGAGAATTCAAATGGAAATTTTGTGTCGCGGATATTCAACGTCCTATTTTAGGCGCCGATTTCCTTTGTCATTTTAATCTCCTAATTGACATTAAAAACAAGAAATTGATTGATAATGTTACCGGTCTTACGAATACTGGAAAAATTCAAGAAGTTGCACATTTGTCAATTTTTACCACATCTCCTGATTCTGTGTACCACAAATTTTTAACCGAATTTCCAGGACTCACCCGTTTTTCTCCAATTTCCTCGGTAAAAACACATGGTGTTGAACATCATATCGTTACGGAAGGTTCTCCTAAATTTTCGACTCCCAGAAGACTTACTCCTGAGAAACTTAAATGTGCCAAGGAAGAATTCAAGTCTATGATGGAGCAAGGAATTTGCAGGCCTTCAAGCAGCTCCTGGGCAGCCCCTCTACATATGGTACCTAAAAAGGAACAAAATTCTTGGAGACTGTGTGGTGATTATCGTGCACTCAATTCAGTGACTATCCCGGATCGTTATCCCTTACCTCATATTCAAGATTTTTCTTCTTCACTTTTTGGTAAGAATATCTTTTCTAAAATCGACTTAGTTAAAGCGTACTATCAAGTACCCGTCGCTAAAGAAGATATTCACAAAACAGCTGTCACTACTCCATTTGGGCTTTTTGAATTTGTCGTAATGCCTTTCGGTTTACGAAACGCAGCCCAAACTTTTCAACGGCTCATGAACTCTTTACTTAATGATTTGAGTTTTGCCTTTTGTTATCTTGATGACATTCTTATTGCTTCTAAAGATGAGAAAGAACATATTGCTCACTTACGCATTATTTTTGATCGTCTTCAACAAGCTGGAATGACAATCAATGTCGCTAAATGTCTTTTCGGTCAAAGCGAGATTTCTTTTCTTGGTTACTTAGTTTCTAACCAAGGAGTTAAACCTACATCCGAAAAAGTGAAATCAATTATTGATTATCCTAAACCTAAGACACTTCATGAATTACGCAGATTCTTAGGAATTATCAATTATTATCGTCGCTGTCTCAAGGATGCTGCAAATCATCAAGCTCTGTTAACAGAATATTTAAAGGACAGTCGCAAGAGGGATAGAAGAATTATTTCTTGGACTAAAGAAGCGGAATTAGCTTTCGAGTCATGTAAAGAAGAACTTTTACAAGTTACTACCCTTTCTCATCCTGCTCCTCATGCTCCTCTTATTTTAACTTGTGATGCTTCTGACTTTGCTGTTGGTGCATCACTTGAACAGTCTATTGACGACGATATCAAACCAATAGCATTTTTCTCAAAGAAACTAGACAAAGCTCAAAGAAATTATAGCACTTATGATAGAGAACTTCTTAGCATTTATTTGGCTATTAAACATTTCAGGCATTTTGTTGAAGGAAGACAATTGATTATCAGAACTGATCATAAACCTTTGATTTTTGCTTTCCGTCAGAAATTGGATAAAGCGTCACCAAGACAGATCAGACAATTGGACTTTATTGCTCAATTCTCTACAAATATTACCTATATTTCTGGAAAAATGAATTCAGTTGCTGATGCTCTGTCAAGAATTGAATCTATTTCAATGCCTATTATAGTTTCTTTAGAAGAACTTGCTAATTATCAGAAAGAAGATGAAGAACTTCAAGTTTTACTTTCTTCAAATTCTTCACTTCTGTTGAAGAAACTTATTCTTTCAGGATCAACCATACCTATTTATTGTGATTGCTCTTCGGAATTAATTCGTCCATATGTTCCTAAACTCTTACGCAAGAGAATTTTTGATGTTGTTCATGGACTCGCTCACCCCAGCGGCAGATTGACATCTAAACAATTACTACTGAAATTCATTTGGCCTTCTTTGAAGAAAGATGTGAAGGAATGGACTCGAACTTGTCTTCCATGTCAACGTGCGAAGATTTCAAGACACACCAAGAATTCTCCAATTAAGATTGCAATTCCTGATCAACGCTTTCAGCATGTGCATTTAGACATTGTTGGACCACTTCCTATTTGTCAAAATTACCGTTATTGTCTTACTATGATTGATCGTTTTTCCAGATGGCCTGAAGCTGTTCCTATTTCTGAGATTTCTGCTGAAACTATTTCTACAACATTTTATTCACATTGGGTAGCACGTTTTGGTTCTCCTATCAGCATTACAACAGATCAAGGTCCTCAGTTTGAAGCAGCTTTATTCAAAGCTTTAACAAACCTAATTGGATGCCAAAGGATTAGAACTTCTGCTTATCATCCTGCTTCAAATGGAATTCTGGAAAGATGGCATAGGACTTTGAAAGCAGCGATTATGTGCCACGAAACAACCAACTGGGTAGAATCTTTACCTTCAGTTCTTTTGGGATTACGTTCGTGTTTCAAAGAAGATTTAAAAGCTTCACCTGCAGAACTTCTTTATGGATCCACTCTTCGTATTCCTGGAGAATTTTTCATTGAAGAAGATTTTCCTGCAGATCCTGAAATCTTTCTTGAAAAACACAGGATTCATATGAGGAATATCAGATCATCTCCTACAAGTCATCATTGCAAAAGATCACCTTTTGTTCACAAGAATCTTTTTGATTGTACTCATGTTTGGATTCGAGAAGATACTGTTAGGAAGTCACTACAACCTCCTTATTCTGGCCCTTTTCCTATTGAGAAACGTATCTCTGATCATTTATTTGCAGTTAATGTTTCAGGAAGAGTTGTCAATATTTCGACAGAACGTCTCAAGCCAGCCTTCATTCCTAGAACTTCAGATTCTACTGAACTTTCTACCAGATCTTCAGCTCCTGTTCCTGCTATTTCAACTCCTGTTCCTGCTACTTCAGCTCCTGTTCCTGCTACTTCAGCTCCTGTTTCTGCTACTTCAAATCCTTCTTCTTCTTCTACTGTTGGAAAAGCTTTACGCACCTACCCACCAAAGAAGAAGAAAGTCCATTTCGCAACGAATATCGTCACTTGGGGGGGAGTACTGTAGCATTCATCATCCACACCTTTCATTTACACTCTACACTTTTATTACACCTTACACTTTTCACTGCACTTTTACACTTTTTACATTTTTATACATTTGTAATAACTTCAATTCATTAATATACATAATGTTTTTAAGAAAAATCAATATTTCCATAACAACACATTCATTCATTTATTTGTTACATATTAATTCTTTTTGTTCTTTCGCTTTATACTTTCAATGAATAAACATTACTTTTTCAAAGATCTGGTGAATTTATTTATAAGTCGCTACACAGTTAGACAAGGACAGACAGTCATATTATCTTCGTTTCTCTCATGCTGTCTTGTCTTCTGACACACACACACACTCTCTCTCTCTCTCTTTCTCTCTCTCTCTTTCTTTCTCTTGCTCGTTCATAATTGTATGCGAGTGATTTGAGAGAGAGAAAATATGCTTTCTAAAAATTAAAATATGTAGGTATAATACGCTAATATTATATATATGTGTATATATATATATATATATATATATATATACATATATATGTTCCTGTCTCTCTGTCTCTTCTTTCTTTTCTACATTACATTTTTTCATACATGCACACGTATATAATAATAAATATTTTCTACATTACATAAATAAAAATAATTACATACATACATACATACATTGGAAATTCTAGTTATAAGTCGTGTCCGCGTCCGTATAATCTGGTCGCGTCTCGTCCGTAATATTCCTATCTGTAAATTCTAGTTATAAGTCGTGTCCGCGTCCGTATAATCTGGTCGCGTCTCGTCCGTAATACTCCCATCTGTAAATTCTAGCAATAAGTCGTGTCCGCGTCCGTATCATCTGGTCGCGTTTCGTCCGTTATACGATACTATGTATTGATAGACTGAATCACGGGTCAACCCCTGAAAGGTGGCCCGAATAAACTATACTTTTACCAGAACAACCGCGTGTTATTGCAAATCTGAGTCTCCCCTCTTCCCGAATCCTGGCACCGACGAGCCAATCCGTGGCGTCGGGAAAGGTGCTTCGTTACAGAAATAAGGTGTTGCCGCACGGCGCGCGCACACACACACACACACATATTCAATGTTACTTTTTTTTTCCTATGTCTTTCGCTTTCGCTTTGAAAGATTGCAGGAGAATTTTTTATTTATATATAATTATATATACATTTATAATTATATATGATTATATATAATTATATATAATCATATACAGGGTGACCCATTTTAACTTAGGCAGCCAAATAACTCGAAAAATAAGCACACTACAAAAAAATGTTTACAATCAAAATTTCGTCATTTCGAGGGGGACGTACAATGACGTTAACATCAGCCCCCTCACCTCTTCTCCTGGGCGGTGAGGGGGGGCAAGTTTGAAATCTTAAATGGGAACCTCTATTTTTTATTGCATATTCGAAATCTTTGGCTAAAAACACATACAATTTGTCTGAAACATTTTTCTCGATTCATGATAGATGGCGCTGTAATCGACAAAATTCAATTTCTTCGATTTCTCTTACTGAGAACCCATGCTTACGATTCTGCAATACATTAACAATAAAAATACCACGTTTTTATTGTTAATACTCGAAATTAGTCTTAAAACAAACTTCTCATTATTTTATATTACTCATTAATTACTTCTCAAGAAACTGCTTTTAGCGTAACCTGCCCTTTAGGCAACTTGAATGGTCCAAAGTACCGCACAAGAAACGCCCAATTACCTGCGGCGAGTGCACACTCAGTGCGCACTCCATTTAGTGCCAAAGTCACAAGTGTTTATGTATTTTTTTAACATTTGTACTCTGATAAAATTCTGGTAAAATGGCAAATTATACGCCTACAGAAGTAGTCGATATTCTTATAACCTTTGGTGAATGTGGTAGAAATTACAGACTTACTGCCCGTACTTATGCGGAGCGATTCCCAAATCGCCGCCATCCTACTGATCAACAAATTATAAACATTGAAAGGAGATCTCGTAATAATCCACTTCATCGCGAAAGGCGAAGGAATAGACTTCATAATAATAATGACCCTAGATTGCTTGCAGTTTTGGCTATGGTTCATTAAAATCCCCATATTAGTACCCGTCAAATAGAACGAGAACTGGGAATCCCTCAAACTACGGCACATAGATTGTTACGATCAGTCAATTACCATCCGTATCATATTACTCTGGTATAGGAATTAAGTGAGGCCGACTACGTACTCAGAGTACAATTTTGTAGATGGGCTCTTGAGATGTTAGATCAGAATCCAGATTTTTTTAGTAATATTTGTTTCAGTGATGAAGCAACATTCATCAGCAATGGTAGTCTCAATAGGCATAATTGCCACTATTGGTCACCAGAAAATCCACATTGGTATCGTGAGGTGCTTAATCAACATCGTTGGAGTTTGTATGTATGGGTAGGCATTTGCAATGGCCAAGTCATTGGACCTCATTTTTTTGAACGTCCAATTAATAGTCCAATGTATTTAGACTTCCTCGAAAATGATTTGCCAGCATACCTAGAGAATGTTCCCCTTGCAGTTAGACTAAATTTATGGTATCAACAAGATGGTGCTCCTGCTCATTATACTCGTCTTGTACGGATATTTTTGAATCAAAGGTTCCCAAATCGGTGGATAGGGCGGGGTGGACCAGTTCTGTGGCCTCCGAGATCACCGGATTTGAACCCCTTTGATTTCTTTTTATGGGGATACGTTAAAGATGCAGTGTATAGTGAAGCTCCAACGACAAGATTGAATATGATGGAAAGAATAAGAAGAGCTTGTGAAGCTATAACTCCTTTAATGCTAGAAAATGTACAACGTAACTTTCGCTATCGATTACTGTTATCTTTAGAAAATAATGGTGCACACTTTGAGCATCTCCTTCATGCGGAGAGAGCTGATAACAATGCAATCTTGCCTTCACTGGCTGGGTCACTACTTGACCTTGCTTTAACTGGTTGTGTCACCACTCGACCTTGCCTTTACTGGCTGGGTCACTACTTGACCTTGCCTTAACTGGTTGGGTTACCACTCGACCTTGCCTTCACTGGCTGGGTCACTACTCGACCTTGCCTTAACTGGTTGGGTCACCACTCGACCTTGCCTTCACTGGCTGGGTCACTACTTGACCTTGCCTTAACTGGTTGTGTCACCACTCGACCTTGCCTTTACTGGCTGGGTCACTACTTGACCTTGCCTTAACTGGTTGAGTTACCACTCGACCTTGCCTTCACTGGCTGGGTTACCACACGTTCAAGCACCCCGAATTGTGAGAGGCGAGGGGACTCATGTTAATCAAGCACCCCGAAGGGAATAGAAAACTGCTACGTCCACGTTGTTGTTCCTGGGTTACGCTAAAAGCAGTTTCTTGAGAAGTAATTAATGAGTAATAAAAAATAATGAAAAGTTTGTTTTAAGACTAATTTCGAGTATTAACAATGAAAACGTGGTATTTTTATTGTTAATGTATTGCAGAATCGTAAGCATGGGTTCTCAGTAAGAGAAATCGAAGAAATTGAATTTCGTCGATTACAGCGCCATCTATCATGAATCGAAAAAAATGTTTTAGACAAATTGTATGTGTTTTTAGCCAAAGATTCCGAATATGCAATAAAAAATAGAGGTTTCCATTTAAGATTTCAAACTTGCCCCCCCTCACCGCCCAGGGGAAGAGGTAAGGGGGCTGATGTTAACGTCATTGTACGTCCCCCTCGAAATGACGAAATTTTGATTGTAAACATTTTTTTGTAGTGTGCTTATTTTTCGAGTTATTTGGCTGCCTAAGTTAAAATGGGTCACCCTGTATAATTATAAATGTATATAATAAAAAAAAACATGTCTGATATACTATACAAAAAAAAAGTTTTTCTCGGTTTTGAACCCTAGTTCGCACGGTGGTAATCCCACGCTCTAAATTGACGCCACGAGATTCATGTTATCAATATAGATTTTTATGAGTTATTTGAATTAAAAAGAAATAATTTTTAGAAAAAATATTATTCATCCACTTATTTCAAAAAGATAAGATACAAAATAAAACTACTTTTATCTTTTGGAAATAAGTGGATGGTTTATATATTTTTTTATGTAAAGAAACGTAAAACAATTTGTAGTATTATTGGTGCTATATACGATTTATAATATCAATATGGGGTTTTATGAGCTATTTGAATTAAAAAAAATTTTTTAGAAAAAATATTATTCATCCACTTATTTCAAAAAGATAAAAGTAGTATTATTTTGTATTCTTTTTGAAATAAATGAACGAATTTTTTCTAAAAAATATTTCTTTTTAATTCAAATATAAAAATCCATATTGATATCATAAAACGTATATAGCGCCAATAATACTATAAATTATTTTACGTTTCGTCACATAGAACAAATAAATAAACCATCCACTTATTTCAAAAAGATAAAAGTAGTTTTGTTTTTTATTTTATCTTTTTGAAATAAGTGGATGAATAATATTTTTACTAAAACATTTCTCTTTAATTCAAATATCTCATGAAAATCCATATTGATAGAGTCCTGTGGCGCCAATTTAGAGCGTGGGATTATCATCGTGCGAACTAGGGTTCAAGTCCGCGTAGGACATACTGCCTTTTTCGCATGATGCGATGGCCGTCGTTGCCAGCGGATATAATTTTATCTTCATATATATATATATAATTTTTTGCACAATTATAAATATAGATTTTCAAATGTGCCTACACTGCCCGTAGCATTAGAATGATATCCACGTACAAAAAAGCCCAAAATTTTATTTTTGCAATCTATTTTATGAATGAAATAATTATTTATCAAACTAATAAGAATAATTTTTTTAAATTGATCAATATATTGGTTCAATTTATCGCGTCATCAAAGGGGAAAGAAAAGAAAATCTCCGATTATGTTTATTTTTTATCAATCAGATATTCGATCAAATGATAAATTGTCGATACTATCTTCGATTGAATTTGCTCGATTCCGAAGTCAAAGTTCACAACTTGAATTTTTATCAACATTTATAATGTAAAATTGTAAAATATAACTAATTTTCTTATCGTGCAAAGTCAATCAAAGATTAGATTGACAATTACAAAACAAAAACATATGATTTTTCGAATATTTTTAATTATAATTGACAAATAAACGTAATCGGAGATTTTCCTTCTTTCCTCTTCGATGACGATAAATTAAACCAATACACAGATCAATTTAAAAATATTCTTATTACATATTCTTGTTATAATTTTATTAGTTTCATGAATAAATTATTTTATTCAAAAAAATTGCAAAATTATAAGTCCTGGGCCTTGTTCAGGGATTATCAACCTGGTGCTGTCTACAATGCTGAATATATATATATATCCTAAAAAAATCATAAAAATGAAAAGGTCAGGTCATGTTTAAAAGAAGGTACTCAAAAATTTAAACCTTTAAAAATTTAAACGATCTAATAATAAATTATCACAAAAAGTAACTGATATGTTATTCAAGGTGCCAGTTCAAAGTGAACATACGTAAAGTGTATATTATCTAAATTTAGTAATAATATATTACCATGAAAAGTAACTGTGATATTTTATTCAAGGTGCAAGTTCACATTGAACATACATACATATAAGTAAAACTGATTACAATTTGATTCTAGAAAATAAGTGCAATATGTTATTCTTAGTGCACAAAATATAATAGTCGTTTATATAGCAATGTTTCATTTGACTTACAATTTTCTTCAGAAACACAGAAGAAAAAGGTATTTGTATATAGTTTTGTATATTCACTTCGTTGTGTGTAGAGCTTTTAAAAATACGTTGAATCCTTATTCTAATCTAATCTTCTTCTAATGTAATACTTTTCGTACTTCAAATGTTGTAGTAATTTTTCTGTAAGAGCTTCGACATTATTTCTAAATGGACATCGAAAAACATCATAGTTTTTTGAGAGCAGGCCGCCATGTTATTTTTCTGAGTCATTAACAAATTGGTACTCTGGAATTACGAGCAATTATTTTTCATTGTACGGGCTAGTATGAATTTCAAATCAAATCTCTATAAACGACTATTATATTTTGTGCACTAAGAATAACATATCGCACTTATTTTCTAGAATCAAATTGTAATCAGTTTTACTTATATGTATGTATGTTCAATGTGAACTTGCACCTTGAATAAAATATCACAGTTACTTTTCATGGTAATATATTATTACTAAATTTAGATAATATACACTTTACGTATGTTCACACTTTGAACTGGCACCTTGAATAACATATCAGTTACTTTTCATGGTAATATATTATTACTAAATTTAGATAATATACACTTTACGTATGTTCACTTTGAACTGGCACCTTGAATAACATATCAGTTACTTTTTGTGATAATTTATTATTAGATCGTTTAAATTTTTAAAGGTTTAAATTTTTGAGTACCTTCTTTTGAACATGGCCTAACCTTTCCATTTTTATGATTTTTTTAGGATATCAGTTACTTTTTAAAGTACAAATATATAGAGCAGCTTTCTAGTAATTCAAGTATCACAAATATATGTATTTTCGATTCTTATCACATAACTTTGTATAAGTAACAATTTATGCAATACAGTTCAAAATAATTGAAATATATATGGTATATATGTACATATATAAAATATATAATTATATTATATATTTGTGTATGTTGAGTCGTGGTCACTACACGTGTATGTTGAGAGCTGACACAAAATCGGAATGGTATTACTCTAATGATATGGAAGTGTTCAAGAAAAAATGGCCCAAAGGAGCACAAGGGGCATACATATTGTTCTTAGAACAGATTAAATAATGGCGCTGTATAAAGGCTGCCGTAAACGCTACATTAAAACATCAACTGTTCTAGTACTGTATAAAAGTTGCCGTAAGCGCCAAAATAAATTATAAATTATATTATAGTATACATATATATTTTATTTAATCATATATGTAAATGTTTGTATAATTGTAATAACTTTTAACGATACATTGCACATTTATTTCAATTGTAACAGAATGAATTTATATTCTTGTATAAATATTGAAAATAAAGAATGGGCCCCTCCATCGCCCATTCTCGTGAAAACGCAACCATATATTTTTCTTCGTCTCTCCGATTTTAACACGACATACATATTTCTGTTTGATAATTTTCTTCTTGATGATACTTTTTGAAATGTCATGAAGCCTAGGTCAAATAAGAAACTTATTGCACTCGTTTTAATGCAGCGCTTACAGCAGCTTTTATAAAGCGCCAGAGCAGCCGATATTTTATTTTGGCGCTTACGGCAACTTTTATACAGTACTAGAACAGTTGATGTTTTAATGTAGCGTTTACGGCAGCCTTTATACAGCGCCATTATTTAATCTGTTCTAAGAACAATATGTATGCCCCTTGTGCTCCTTTGGGCCATTTTTTCTTGAACACTTCCATATCATTAGAGTAATACCATTCCGATTTTGTGTCAGCTCTCAACATACACGTGTAGTGACCACGATTCATTTCTTCACCTTCGTGAAATATAGCGCTTATTACCTTGTACTTTTTTTTATTAATCGTGATATTACTCGTCGGCACGGCGGTAATCCGATTGTTGATAATTTTTTTAGAAGCACCGTTTATAAAAGTATATAAATTGAGCTGTATTACTACGACGGATAAAGTTGATTCGATTACGGTTTTCTTTTTCAACACGGTGCCCTTACATTCGTTACAATTGCCGTTTATCGTTTCCCATTTAGAAAATTCTACATTAATCAAACTTTGTAGAGTGACACCTTTTTTCCTTTTTAATGTCGAATGTATAGGTAATATTAACAAACTACTGCTTTCCAGCTTAGTTACATTGTAATTACATTTGACATTCGAGCAACATGTTACGTGCTTTAATTCGAGATTCTAATACATCATTGATGTCGGAATACGTCGACATTAGAGCCGTAAAAAATTCCGAAACAACTTGTTGTGTTCGTTCTTCAAAGCGTTTTCCGACAGATCTTCTAACCGCTTGAATGTTGCAATATTTACGTTCACCATACGCGCAGATGGCATCAGTCAATGCATTCGATGCTTTATTTTTCAGTATTTGTTGCCTAATACGTACGCAATGAAACGCACATTGTAATATTACATTAGCGTAACACGAAACAGCATCGTTATTGCAAAGACCATATATTTTCCACGTAACTATACTTTCTGGTTCCTCACAATCATAATTCTGCACATCATCAATGATATTAGGGATAGCCCATCGACGATCGTACATTTTCACAACCTTTTTCTCGGACGGATTGATTTGTGGCAGTTCAGATTTGAATATAGATCTCAGTCGATTATATTCTACAATGGCTCTCGAGTTTGCTTTAACTGATGCTGGATTGAAATTTATCAAATGTAGACCTTCCAATTTACTTACTCGTGACAAACCTACATAGGCTTGACCATCACTGAATACAGTCGTTCCTAAATCCATCATTGCATTGTTACATGTAATTCCTTGACTTTTGTGTATAGTTATTCCATAACTGAGAGACAATGGAAATTGTTTCCAATGTACCACTAATTTGTGGAATACTTCAAATTTAATATCTACTTTTGTTATTGCGATTTCTTTGTTATCCGAAATAACTATTTTGATGGAATCAATACGATTGCCGTCAGCAGAGCGATTAACTGCAACTACATTGCCTATCGTTCCATTGACAAGTCTCAAAGTTACGTCAATGTTTCGTCGAATCATCACTTTAGCGCCAATTTTAATCGCTATTACTCTTTCAATGCCAGCTGTTTCAGACACTTTATCATCTTTGTCTTCCAAAATTTTATGCACCTTTTTTTTTCATTGCTGGAGCACATCATCTTCTGCTATCAGTAGAATTTCATCGCTGTCGATTTTATCGAGCATTGCTGTGTTCAAAACCTTGCACAAATAACACGTGGGCAATAAACAAATTGTATCAATCGGTAATTGATTCATATAAGTGCAAAGTTCATTCAATCTTTCGTCGCAACTACTTTCTTTAAATTAAAAGTTTAACTAGGCTCTGTAATATAAATATAAATTTAACATATATAAGACAGGCAATAAGAGCCAAATCGCGGATGACAGTGCGTTATCCTAAACAAAACTAAATTTTTTCGTTAGAATTAAATACCTGTGCACAAGGCACCAAATTTTACTTGGACACGGCCAAGATATAAATTGGAATAATCTCTACAAAAGATTTTTTAATTCCATGTATCCCCTATTCCCCCTAAAGAAATAAATGCGAGAGAAAAATATAGATCCAAAAGTCGCAGAATCGGGAATCGAACCCGAGACCTTTCGCTTGCCGGGCGACTGCTCTTCCAACTGAGCTATTCAGATCCTTTCGATTCTATATTTTTCTCTGTTATATATATTAATGTTGGTAAACAAACGCCTTTAAGCCAGCGTGTATAAATTAAGAGTTTAACTAGGCTCTGTAATTCTAACTGTGTTAATTCTAACGAAAAAATTTAGTTTCGTTTAGATAGATAGATAGATAGATAGATATATTTATTGCTGCCCAATTGGGGATTACAAGGCGCTTTTTTTTACAGGAGCGTTCCCAAACCTTTCCTTCCTTTACCCTTTTTCCTTAGCCTAAACTTATATCTATAACTTAATCTAATTACATGTTTTTCGCCACGCCTCTCCTCTTCGCCGCCTTTCTCATCTTCTCTCGCATTTCTACCCTACCTACACACACACACACGTCCGCCTTTCCCCCCTTTCTTATTCTAAATTATCTTAACTACGCAATCTTACATTCTACTTAGCCTATGTTGGACCTCCGCTTCCGGTTACCGTATTCTTCCACTCCTTTCCTCTCCCTCCCTCTCTCTCTCTCTCACACTCACTCACACACTCACTCCCTCCCTCTCTCTCTCCTCCCCCTTATCCCTACCCTCTCTCATCCCCCTGTCCTCCTTTTACCTCCTTCTCCTTCTCCCCTTCCCCCTTCCCTCTTCTGCTTCCTCTAACCTTTTAACCATATTTCCCCTTCCCCCTCCTCTCTAATATCTCCTTTACCATTTCCTGCCAGCTCTCTTCCCTTCCCCAATCCATACATTCCTCCCACACATGCTCCCACGTCTCTAACCCTCTCCCACATATCCTGCACTTCCTATCCTCCTCCTTTTCCCAATACCTATTTCCCTTCATTTCATTCCCCAGTCTATACCTTGCCATCCTCCTCCATCTACCTTCCGCCCACCCTTTCTTCAAATAGCCCGGAATCCCCTCCCCTTTAATCTGTTTGTACCACTTATTATATTCCGATTTTATCATTTTCCTACCCTCTCCTCCCTCTGTTCCTTTCCTTCCCATTCCTCAACTTCTTCCCATCTGAACTCCCCCTTTTTCCCTTCTTTCCTCTATCTCCCTTAATCCCATCCCCTTACCCTCAAAAATTCCCTTCTTTCTCTCTCCCACCCTGACAATTCCCCTCCTTTTTTTTGCCCTTTCTTTAATCTCCCCCAACCTATTCTCGCCAACCATCCTCCCTTACCCTCCTCTAACCTTCTCTCATATCCCCATGCTCTTCTTCCCATCCTTGTCCTTATCTTTTCCCTGTGCAATTCCTCCCTTACCATATATCCAGGCGTTCTCCATCCACTCCTAACATCCATCTCAGATACCTTTCTTGTATCCTTTCCAATCCCTCTCTCTCTCTTCCATCCCCATATCTCCACCATCCACCCCGTATCCTAAAACCGTCCACACTAACGCATTGAAGAGCCACAACCTCTCTCCCCCAGTTATTCCCAAATCTCCTCTTACCTATTCCCCATACCTGTCCCATAATTGCTGCCCCTCTCTTTATTCTGTCCCTTACCTGTCCCTCTTGCCCCCCATTCCTTTGAATCACATATCCTAAATACTTGTACTCCTTTACCCTCCTCTAATTTTTTTTCCCTTCCAAAACCAACTAGCCTTTTTTAACCTCCCTCCCCCCCCTTCTGCATCTCATCACCTTCGACTTCTTCTCATTCAGTTCCAGTCCCTTCCCCTCCAGATATCTCCCTAACCTCTCCATCTAACACCTTATCCCCCCCTCATCTTCTGCCAACAGCACCACGTCATCTGCGTACGCTAATGTATAGACCTTGCCCTCTCTAACTCTCTCTCACACCCCCCCACCTCCCTTTCTCCATTTCCTCCTCCAAGTCCGCCATCAACATGTTAAACAGGAGCGGGCTCAGGGGCATCCCTGTCTCACCCCCCTCCCCGTCCAAAACTTCTCCCCCACCTCCTCCCCTATTCTAACTCTGAACCTATCTCTCCTAGCACTTCCTCGCACCTCCTCACCGTCTCTTCCTTCACCCCCCTCCCTCTTAACGCCGCCATCAACTTCACTCACTCTTCCACCGAATCAAAACGCTGCTCTCAGGTCCACAACAGTAGTACCATTTGCTTTCCTTTCCTACTTATTTGTCTGTTTATTAAGTAATTTAATACATAAATATTGTCCACCGTTCCCATCCCTTTCCTGAACCCCGTTTGATTCGGTGGCAACATCCCTTTTTTTCTCTATCTCTCCCCTCAATCTCTCTGCCAACACCGTCTCATATACTTTGTATAAAGACGGTGTCAGAGTTAACCCCCCCTGAACTCCGAAACCTCCTTTCCCTCACCCCTCTTCAAGATTGCACACCACCAGCCCTCACTCCACTCCTTATCACCCTCCACCCTCCCCTTTCATATCCTATTGCACAACTCCCATACCCACTTCTCTATTCCCTCTCCTCCAAATTTCCCACACTTCTCCCGGAATCCCTTCCACCCCCACCGCCTTTCTTCCTTTATCCTACTATCGCCCTCCCTAATTTCTCCCTTTTCTATCTGATCTTCCCCTCTCTCCTTCTCCGTCCTTCTTCCTCCCATTATCACTCTCGACTCTACCCCTCCTAATAGATCTCTAAAATATCTGTTCCATCTCCATCTCAATCCCCTCACCCCTATTCCTCCTTTTCCTTTTCCCCTTTCCCTCCTAACCACCTCCCAAACCTGCCCCTCGCGTCCTCGCTCTT